AAAGAATCTCCATGTGTAAGACAAAAAGAGTTCAAATTATTTTCTTCTGCTTCTCTCTACTTCGTGCCATGGCTTTCTAGTGTTCTTCAACATATTTATACCTTTGAAACTCTTTGTGCCATTTTAGTAAGTTTTTTATGATTTATGTTTCCAGTTAGTGTACTTTTTATAGCTAATCCGGTTTGATAGGCCCAACAAGAGTCTTTGCTAGATGGGCTGGCTGTGTATATACAACTTTTTATTCAGAAAAGTATTTTAAATTATTGTCATACTAAATTGCTTGGTATGTATTTCTACTTTCTTACTGTTCACTAACTTCTCATTCCTCTCAATTCACTGTCTATTAAATTTTTTTTCCAGGTTTACTGAGATATAATTGACACATAACGTTGTATAAGTTTAGGGTGTATAGTGCATTGATTTGATCATTACATATTGCAAAATGATTACCACCATAGTGTTAGCTAACATATGCATCCTGATGCATAATTACCATTTCTTTTCTGTGGTGAGAACATTCAGGATCTATTAGCAACGTTCAAGTATGTAATACAGTATTATTAGCTATAATCACCATGCTGTACATTAGATCCCCAGACTTTGTTAATCTTGTAACTGGAAGTTTATACCCTTTGACAAATATCTCCCCATTTCCCCACCCTCCAGCCCCTGGTAACCCTGAGTTTGGGTTTTTTAGATTCCACATATAAATGCTGTCATACAGTATTTGTCTTCCTCTTTTTTTCACTTAGCATAATGCCCTCAAGGTTCATCCATGTTGTCACAAATGGAAGGATTCCATCTTTTTCATGGCTGAATAATATTCCTCGGGGTGTGTGTGTGTGTGTGTGTGTGTGTGTGTGTGCACATCTTCTTTATCCATTCATCATTGATGGACACTTGAGTTGTTTACATATCTTGGCTATTGTGAATAATGATGCAATGAATATTGGAGTGTAGATATCTCTGTTAGATTCTGATTTCAATTCCTTTGGATGTAGACTTAGAAGTACGATTGCTGGATCATATGGTAGTTGTAGTTTTAATTTTTTGAGGAATCACATACTGTTTTCCATGGTGGTTGTAGCAATTTACATTCCTACCTACTGCACACAGGGTTTTCATTTCTCCACATCCTCACCAACACTTGTTCTCTCTTGTCTTCTTGATGATAGCTATGTAACAGGTGTGAGGTGATACCTCATTGTGGTTTTCATTTGCATTTTCCTGATGATTAGAGATGTGGAGCACCTTTTCTTGTACCTGTTGGCCATTTGTATGTCTTCCTTGGAATTCCTTGTATTTAGAGAGAAGTGTATTCTCATTTTAAATGTCAAGGCCAATGGTTTGCTCTTGGGTTGCCATGAGGGCATCTGATAGCTTGGATTTTGCCTCTGGACCAGAATCATTAGTCTTCTCTTATGTGTAATTACTTTTCCAACTCAGTCTCCTTTCTGACAAGAATGAGGAGGAGTCTTCATTAAAACTACTAATTACAGATATTAAAGAATGAAGCAGACAGTCCTCCAAAGAGCAATCTGTAAAGGAGAGCAGTACCTACATAAAATGGAGGCTCTTATTAATCCATAAAACTATTAATCACTGTGTCATATAAACCTGATTTTATCCTCAGGCTTTATTAGAATGCCTCTTTCACTCACCTTGTCTCCTTATGGGACAGCTCCAGCACTTTAGGTTTGCATCAAAAGCTATTCTGGCCTTTTGTCCTCAGTTTTCTGTCCACTTAAAGCAAAGTGCCCTTTAGTGTTTCATAGCTGCTTTCTATGGAACTGCTATGTAAGGGATTAGTCTGCTAACTGACTTCCCTCACAGTTACCAGATTATTTCCGGTAACTGAAATAATCCCTCAGAGATTTCATAGAATTTTAGAATTTGAGAATCTTTAGTTTTAAGTAGCCTTAAAGGTTCAAGCCCTGACTTTGAGAGCTTAGAGAATTCTTTTTGTTGTTGTTGTTCTTGTTACTGATTTAGAGAGATGTGATTTAACTGATTTTTCTGGAATCTGTGCCTTCTCTTTACAAATTATAAAAAGGTTTTTCACCTGTTTTATTGAACGCCAAGCACTTCCTCATTCCATGTGAACAATACCTTATTGAGATCTTGTGTATGTTGAAATTCGAATATAATCTGTCCCTTTCTAGCCACCATCTCTGTAGCTAGCTCTAGTGTAGAAATGAGATTTACAAAAAGCTACTTTGTTCAGACTGGAAATTTTATCAAGTTCAGGACTTCATAGAACGAATCATTTTAGTACACATCCAAATTGAGAATTTGACTTGGTTTTAAAACAAAAAATGTAAAGTGCTTTCATGTGTGGTCATATGTAACATTATATTCCTTTATACAATGTCTGTTTTTTCCCCTTTGTTTCCTGCATTTGTATGACAGCTTTTTGACTTAACCTTGAAAATACTAGCTTCTGGAACCTCTATAGAAACTCCCTCTGTTTCCAAAATTAGAATGGCATTTCTCTCCCAGTTTGGCTCTATAGAGTCTGTAGCTTTAAAAAAAAAAAAAAGAGGGAAGGAAAATGCTAGATTTCTCTGTAGTCCTTTATATATGTAACCTCCCTAGGAATGTGCCTTCTTTGTTACTGATAATGACCATTGTGTGCCTTTTATACTGAAAATAGGCAGCTCTTGGTAGGTAATACCAGTGGTGACTGTGACAGCTCCTAGCTATGTAGATATTCAGACAGTGTGTCTTGATGATACTGATTTACATCGAGTTGGGAAACTCTGCAGGAGTGAACCTGTATCTAGGATCCAGGAACAATTACTTTGGAGAGAAAACCCCAGTGAGAGCTGTTGGCTTGGTCACTGAGCAGGACAGGCTCAAGTGCTGCTTTCCCTCATGATGTCAGATTGCTATTGGCTGTGGGAGAGAAAAAGAAGGTAGCATTTTGCTCTGAAATAGGCTAATTAGGGAGAATACAGGCTCCCTTCTAGGGTTCCCATGGTGTGGTCACCAAATGGGGATATCTTAAGAACTGCGGCTGGACAGGAGGGAGGGCCTGCTGAGGTGTGGTGGGCTAAGATCCAGGTGCTGAACTGAACTCCCCCAGTATTCTCAGTAAGAGTCCCCAGAGCGTGTCATGCTAGCTTATTCTCTTTATGGTGAGAGGTTTGTCTTATTCCCCAGGCCTGGGATCAGGTTCTCTGCATCTGACCAAATCAGCAATTAGATGCCCAAGAGTGACCAAAAAAATAATAACTCAGTTTAACAAGTGCACCAGAGCTGAGGCATCCAAATGAGAGAGAGCCTGCGCCTTCCAAGTTGTCCCCCTGGGAGGCTGTGTACGTCTTCCAGCAATGCTGCCATTGCTCAAAAGGTTCATAGCATTTTTCTTTCAACTGTACATTTAAAGTCTACCACATATGCTGTTATCCTGTTGACAGATCTTAATCTTTAGAAGGATGAAGTAGCTAAGTAAATATTTAGAAATAGCCCAAAGTCATTCTGGGTCCTGCCTGGCAGATGGTATAGATGAGCGAGTAATCAGATGGCCAGTTCCATTTTGGGCTGAAAATCAGATCTGATATTTTCACTTGGTTTATCTTCAGGTTATTAAAACAGTTCTGAAGACATATTTCAAAACTATTTTAAATAAGAGAAGGATCAGTGAAGTAAGTACGTTGTTTCTAGATGTGGCTGCTTTGGTGATCCACTTACTGAAATATAGCCATTCTGGTTAAGTGTTTTGTGAAGTCTTATTATCCTCCGTGTTTTTAAGAAATTAATTTAATTAATTTATTTATTTTTGGTTGAGTTGGGTCTTCATTGCTGCCCACAGGCTTTCTCTAGTTGCAGTGAGCGGGGGCTACTCTTCGTTGCGGTGCGTGGGCTTCTCCTTGCGGTGGCTTCTCTTGCTGCGGAGCACGAGCTCTAGGCGTGTGGGCTTCAGTAGTTGTGGCTCACAGGCTCTACAGCGCAGGCTCAGTAGTTGTGGCGCATGGGCTTAGTTGCTTTGCGGCATGTGGGATCTTCCTGGACCAGGGATTGACCCCGTGACCCCTGCATTGGCAGGCGGATTCTTAACCACTGCGCCACCAGGGAAGTCTGTATCCTCTAGTTTTAAGACCATTAAATTATTCAACAATAGCACGAATCACCATTTGAAGCTTACTATGGTCAGAGAGTACCCAGTACAATTGAAACAGTTCAGAAATAGAGAGCTACAAGATCAGGTGGGTTATGAGGAGAACTGTATTAGAGTTGCTTTGCAAGTTAACCTTATACTAGGCTCTCAGTTCTGTAAAAAGGGAATGATAGTAATCAAGTCATGTTGTCCACATCGTAGAATCATTGTGAGGCTTTTAAGGGGGTATGGAGCATAAATCACAGTGCCTTGTGTATGGTAGTGTTCAGTAAATGTTAGCCATTTTTATTATACTATTATGACATGACAGGTTGCCTGGGAGAGAGGAAGAATGGAGAAATAGAGGGATGGGGTGCCGTGTGGGAAAGGAAAAAGTACTAATAGTTAAATAAAACTGGCCTTTCTTTGGATTTTAAATTTCTCCAAACCAAACCTGTTCAGTCATACTCCAGTTATATTGACTTTATTTTTTAAATTTCTATTTATTTATTTATTTGGCCACACGTGCAGCATGGGGGATTTTACTTTCCCTACCAGGGATTGAACCTGTGCCCCCTGCAGTGGAAGCACGGAGTCTTAACCACTGGACCGCCAGGGAAGTCCCTATATTTACTTTAACTTAGATACATGTCTTGAATGACATGAGCAATATTTTAATTTTCAACTGTTCCTAAAATTTTTAGTTCTTTATTGAGATTCTGGTTGTATTCTAAACTAAAAAACAAAACCACGAACCAAAAACCTTAACATCCACAAGATATGGTGTTGAGGATTTGGATATCAAGTGTACAAACCAGTTGTATCATGTTACCAGATAACATAGTTTTGTACATTAAAAAATGCAAATCTTATCACTTGTATTATATTGCTTTTTAAACAGATGAAGATGAAGATGGTGATCGAATTACAGTGAGAAGTGATGAAGAAATGAAGGCAATGCTGTCATATGTAAGTATATTACAAATGAAGACTATTTTTTAAATGTTAATGTAATTGAGGATGCTGTTTCTCGGAATAGTGAAGATATAAAAGTAAATCATAGTTGCTATAACATTTTTCTGTATAATATATAAGATTTTTAAAGATTTCCTTACGTGAAAGTTAAGGGCATTCTTTTCAAAAGACACTTACTGATCGTATCATGAACATTAAGAATAATGCATCTTAATGACTTTTGCATTAGGTATGGTGCAGACTAAATGGACTATCAATTTCCTGTATTTTTTATGCAGTACTTAAAGTAACGGCTCATTAAAAACGAACCCCTGGGCTCTAAAAAATTTTTCAAAATCTACTTTCAACTGGAGATCTCTTTCACCCTTACAAACAGACCATAGTTATAATGTAGCTGCAGGCTTAATATGGATACATGATTTAAGGTGTACTCTCAGTTATTTTATGCACTAACCACCCCACCCCAAAATGAACTGCAGGGTTACTTACTGAATCTAAGTGATTTGAATATATCCCAAAATGACTTTTCTTTTGTGTTTCAAATTTCAGTGAAGATTTGCATTAACATTTGTCTCAGAACTGAAGTAGATAAACAGGAAAAAAGGATACATTTCTAAAACTTTAATACTAAGCTTGAATAATTCAGTGACAATGAAGAGACATAGCTTCCCTGAGCCCTGATTTGTTCTTTTCTCTTATTTTTATTTTATTTTCTCTTGTTCATTTTATTTTATTTTTTCTGAGTTTGCAGTCTGTGTACGAAACCTTCTCTAGTGGTCTGGCGAAAAGAGCATTGGACTGGAAGCAAGGAGACCACTGCTCTCCTCTGGCTTCCTGGCCTTAGGCAAAACACTTAACCTTTCTGTGCTGTAGTTGCCTCATCTGTCACTTGTGGATAATAATACTTGTCCTTTCTACTGCACAGGGTCATTGTAATGACCAAATGGGATAATAGATGTGAAAGCCCTTTGAAAAGTTAAAAAGTTCTATACAAATGCAAAGTGGTATTATGGTGGAAATGATGGAATCAGGGCCCTTGCTTTTCAGTGAGACTCTGATCTCAGCCAGTGGTTAGGTTGTAGGTTTTTGATAGACCTCAACTTTAACCAGGATATTTTTTCGTCGTGATGAAAACTGTGAAATATCTGTATGGGTTTCCGCCAATAGTTTTAATTTAGGGTAGGAGGAAAGAGAACAAGAAGGATGGCATGATTAACAGAGCGTTGCATTCAGACGAGCACAGAGTAGGAAAAGTCAATTTCCCATTTACTTCTCATTAACTTATTTGAGAGTCTTTGTGCCCTGAGAATTTAGAGCAGGGCTCATCAGTACCTTGAAAGGCAGAGTAGGATTGTCTGCTGAAAGGTCTAGCATAGTAATAATAGATTGGCTAACTCTCCTGAGAATGTGACATGCTTATTTTTATTTTTATTTTATTTATTTATTGTTTTGCGGTACGCGGGCCTCTCACTGTTGTGGCCTCTCCCGTTGCGGAGCACAGGCTCCGGACGTGCAGGCTCAGCGGCCATGGGTCACGGGCCCAGCCGCTCCGTGGCATGTGGAATCTTCCCGGACCGGGGCACGAACCCGTGTCCCCTGCATCGGCAGGCGGACTCTCAACCACTGTGCCACCAGGGAAGCCCTGGCCTTTATTTTTTAGGTTCAGTTTGGCTCTGAAAAATTTTGATTCCAGGATTTGGGTGGTGGGATAGGGAAGATACTGACAGATGACCACGTATTTACTGTTAAAAAAAAAAAAAAGCTATGTTTTTCATGTGGAATTCAATAAATTTGTAGTCACCTTAGTATTTCTTTAAAAACCATATGGGGAAAGCAAAACTAGGCATACTTTTACCATAAATCCTTTACACATTCTTTTAAAAAAACTACAGTGTCTGAGTTGACACTTGCAGAATTACTTTTTTTTTTTCCCCTTGAATTTAAGCATTTTATGGCTTTGGGCCAACAGAAGCATAAGTTTTTATCAGTAATTTAAATAGATTTTTGTATTAGACCTGAAAATGTTGCCTTTTTAATTGAAAACTTATCAATTATTTAAATTGCTAGCAGCCTTAAGCTGTTAATTTTATGTGTGCCATAATAATGGCATACAGTGGATTTTGATACATGTGACACATGGACTGTCTCATTGTGGTAAGGATTTGTCACGACAATAGGTTGTTGTGTGCTGTTAAATAATAACCAACATAGTAAACCAAAGTCTGTTGTCACACATTAGTACCATTTTATGTAAGTTATTTAGAAGTTGTATTCTTTTCTTCATTAGATATATTTTTAAGAGATAATGAGAGGAAAACAAAGCTATAATAAATTGTCTTTTAAGAAAATGTAAAGTAATTTGGTCTTCAGGTAGATATTTAATGTATTGAGAGAATTCAGCAGCCAAGTGTTATTACAGCACCATTGTGATCGCTCTCTGCGTTTTGTTATGAGTTTGTGTTAATCAACAATCTGTTTTTATAGCGTAGTTTCTTGTAAGTTACAGTGTTAGAATATTCTACTTCTGGGATCATGGCTTGTCCTCTGACGCTATTGTATCTTTTTAATTTCTCCATAAAGTATTTTTTTAATTAGAATTTGAAATGCTTTACTAGGAAAAAAATACAGCCAAGCTACATATCCTGAAAACTAAATACCTGATCATTGCTAATTATTTAAAGGATTCTGTTAAATATTCCCTTAAAGTAGTTTAAATTTTTTTGTTGTTCTTGTCTTCTCCTCTCATTTTCCAGAAAGACTGAATAGTATACTGCTTTTCTCCTTCCATCTTTTTGTAATTGTTGTCTGGTAGTGCTGGCCTCATTTCCTTATAGCATCAAGCACAGCAGTGCTGGGCCTTATTTATTGATTCATCATAAGCTTTATTTATCACTGAGACCCAGTTATAGGAGGAGGTTATTTTTATGTTAACCTCTGCTTTTAGGTGACCTTTCATCAAGAAACTCAGCAGTACATCTTGCTTTTGTAAATGGACTCCTATTTGTTTTTGCTAAATCCTGTGGCTAGTAAAGGATTTATTACGCCTAGTTCTCTCAATACTGAGAGGCTTATATGAGTAGAGCACAGTATTAATAAGAATAAGTTTCTTCATTTTGCTGGTTCTCTCTCTTTATACGGTTTCTCCACATTGCCAGAAGAGTATGGGATGAGTTTAACTGTAATGCCTCCCATTATGGCAGGGACCTTGTGTTTTATTGGAGTGTAAGCATTCCCTTTGGTATACTTGACGGTAGTGTACCTTGTTAGATGTTGGGTACCATGAGGGAAAATACTTTTTGACCTCTGTAGCACCTTGTAAATTGGGATATGATTGGCTTTATCCTAGCATGCATAACTTGGAGACTGCCTCAAAAATCATAGTTGCTCAAGGAGAGTTGGAAGGGAACATTAGAGGTCTTGTCCAGCTGTCTCATTTTACAGATAAGGAATCTGAGGCTCAACGAGCTCAGATTCAGTTTGAGGTCACATTGCTAATGAATGAGAAGGCCTGGACACAGACCTAGGTCTTGGACGTCCAGTCTTCCCTCCTGGTGGTTTTAAGTGATGTTTTTGTTTTGGCATTTATTGAGATCCTGCCGAAGAAGCTTTGCAAATACTACTGTTTTCCTGGTAGCAAAAAATAATGCTATTTACTAGAATGTTAGTGTACCTGAGTTTGAAAAGGAATACAGACAAATACTTTGTGGGCTTTTGAAGTTTTCAAGATTTTGTCCTTCCTACAAGGCTGAATTTTACCACAGAATTTGTTGCCCACTTAGTTGTTGAACATTTAATAGCCTCAGGGCCTTTGCTATTAGGAAGTTTTCTTTAAAGAGCAGAGATTGGAACCTCATTTTCTGCATGGTGCTTTTAAACATGCTCCATATTAAGTTGGTCCTACTTTGAACTTAACTTTGTATGTGGCATAGTCATCTTGGTCTTCAGTGAGTGGTTAGTCCCCTAATTCAACGTGATCCATCTAAACAAGTGATAATACTCGATACTCTCCTGGCAGGGTGGAGAAACAGTGAAAAGAGTGAGACAGGAAAACGGAATGAAATAAATAAATAGTTGTGGAAATTATTCATTTTTTTTTTTTTTACTCAAATAGTGACATGCTCTAAGCTGTAAGTAAAGTTTTTGTTCTGTTTTCTCATCCTAGTCAAAGAATGAAACTTTTTTTCAGAGGCAGATTATTTTAACTCCCTTCTCTGTGTTGTCTGGGTCATATGGATGCCCTTGAAATAGTGATAAGAATGTAGTAGCCCCTTATTTAGCCCTTCTTGTGAAATATCTTGGGACATCTTTGCTAGCAAGAAGCAGAAGCAGACTGAAATTTGTGTCAGTTTATTATGCAGCTCATGGAAGCAAACGTAGAGACAGCACAAGCAGACCTCAGCCAGGTGGCATCAGGGCATCCTGGGTGCTTTGAACCACCAATATTTTGTCATTAACATGGCTGTGCTCCCAGTTCAGCTCCGTCTCTGTGGAGGGCTCAGTTTGGACTACCGGTTGATTCCTCTGGGGTCCTATGTTGAGGCAGCTGGCATGAGGGGGCAGAAAAATGTGGGACATCAATTAGCCTCTTGATGGCTGTGGTAGGGGCTTCTCTTCCGGAGAGAGATGGGCTGCGAGGGAATGATGGACCTCTAGCAGTAGGATTGCTGTGGGGCATAACCAAGGTGTTTGGCTCTTGTTGGCAGCTCCTAATGAACCTGTTCTCTTAGGGCCAGTTTTACTGGAAACAGGAGGGGTATTTTCTACGTATACCTGAAAGATGAATATAAATTTGCTATAATACAGTAAAGTTAGAGGAATTCAGTAAATTATCAACTTAGGAATATAATATGTCCAAAAAGGTGTAAATTGAGGTAATTGGAAATTTCAAAATAATTTATTTCTCTCATAATATATGTTTCTCTGTTACATATATGTTCTTTACTCATTCCTCACTACGTTTTCAATTATTTTTTAACAGCATTTGAGCAGTAGGC